ACGATCCTTCCGCCTCAGCCTTCCGAGTAGCCGGAATTACAGGCACGTGCTACCACGCCTAGCTGATTTATTTGATTTATTGTGGAGATGAGGTCTCGCCAAGTTGCCCAGGCGGGTCTCGAACCTGCGGGCTCAGGTGTCCACTCACCTCAGCCTCCCGAAGCGTGGGATTACAGGCTGAGCCACCAAGCCCGGCCGGATCACTTTTTCCATTTGAGCGATGTGAATACTGAAACTCGAAAGAGTTTTACCTCAGGCCACCAGAGAAAGGAAAATCTCTACCTGGACATCATCATCTTTTTTGAGCTAGGTACCATTATTCTGTCCCTCCAGAACAGTTGAGGCCTGTGTTTGGACCACAGAAGCACCTCTGGCATGCTCAGTGAGCTTTTAGGACAAATTTGCTCTTCAACCCTTGGAAGTTCTAGGTGTAACAATGTTGTTCTCTGTGGGTGTGGGTTCTCCTTCCAGGGCTCCTATTGGACAATCGACACCTGCCCCGACATTTCCCGAAAGAGAAGACACCCTCCAGATGATGATGTAAGTTCCCACCTCGTGAGGAGATGCCCTTTTTGAGCCGGTTGCTCCTTCCACCGCCTTTCCTGCGTGTTCCATGTTTTCCAAGGCCAAGGTGGAACACCAGCAGAGGTGAAGCCATGAGTCTCGGGGGGATCTTTTGCTGCTGCTTATAGGCTTCTTTTCCTTTACAACCCTCAGCTGTCCCAAGATTCACCAGAACAGGAGGCAAGCAAAAGCCCACGTGGAGGTGTTCCAGGGAGTGGAGAAGCCTCACTGCCTCCAGAGGGGAATCCTCAGATGTCACTTCAGAGTCCCGCATCTATCGCCACCTATAGCCAGGTAGGAAGCAGAGGTGGCAGAGGGCGTGGTATAGGTGGTTGAATGGATTCAGATCTCTCCCTGCTTATTTGGAGTTAGGCATTGAGTGTCTGGTATATTAAGCAGATCAATTGGGAAAGATGTGGAAAGCCAAGAGGGAAACTGAGAGAGAGAGAGAGAGAGAGAGAGAGAGAGAGAGAGAGAGAGCCGGGCTCGGTGGTTCAGCCTGTAATCCCGCGCCTTTGGGAGGCCGAGGTGAGTGGATTTCCTGAGCTCGCGGTTTTGAGACCCGCCTGGGCAACTTGGCGAGACCTCATCTCTCCAATAAAATAAAAAAATTAGCTGGGCGTGGTAGCGCGCGCCTGTAGTTCCAGCTACTTGGAAGGCTGAGGCGGAAGGATCACCGGAGTCCAGCAGGTCGAGGCTGTGGTGGCCGGGAGCGGCCACTGCTTTCCAGTTTGGGCGACAGAGTGAGACTCCAACTCAAAAAAAAAAAAAAAAAAAAAAGAGAGAGAGAGAGAAGCAGAACACAACTTTGAGAAGGCCTAGGAAAAAAAGTGGTGAGACGAGAAGGGGAGCCAGAAAAGTTATGAGAAGGGAAAGAAGGGCATGGATGTAATATGGGAAAAGGGCATTCAAAGAGGAGATGAAGAATGGTGAAAGAAAGAGGTGAGATTCTAGCTAAGAGCCAACGAGGCCAGGTGCGGTTGCTCACACCTGTAATCCCAGCGCTTTGGGAGGCCAAGGTGGAAGGGTTGCTTGAGCCCAGGAGTTGAAGACTGCTTGGGCAACACAGCAGGACCTCATCTCCACAAAAAAATTTTTAAAAAATTAGCCAGGCGTGGGGGCGTGTGCCTGTTGTCCCAACTACTCGGGATGCTGAGGTGGAAGGATCGCCTGAGCCCGGCGGGTTGAGGCTGCTTTGAGCCATGGTCTTGTGATCCTGCCACTGTACTCCATCCTGGGCGATGGAGTTAGACTTTGACTCAAAAAAGGGAGGAAGAACCAATGAGAAAAGAAGGAGAAAATGATGATGCTGGGTCCCTGAAGAGCTAGGAGAGGATTGGGAGAGTAGGCAGGAGAGCCTGGTGACTACGAGAGGGTTGTGTTGGTCTCTCAGCTGGGACTCGGATCAGGACGCTCCTACCTATTTTGCAGGGCACAGGGTCTGTGGATGGCGGAGCAGTGGCTGCAGGAGCTTCAGGCCGAGAAGCTGCTGAGGGTCCTCCTCCCCTCTATAACACCAACCATGACTTTAAATTTTCCTACTCGGAGATCAACTTTCAGGACCTGAGCTGGTCCTTCCGCAACCTCTATAAATCTATGCTGGAGAAGTCCTCTTCCTCCTCTCAGCACGGTGAGTCTGGGGTTGGGATGGGTTCGTGGACATCCTTATATTTTTAAACAAGCGGTGACATTCTTTTCTTTCCCTTTTTTTTTTTTTTTTTTTTTTGTGTCGGAGTCTCACTCTGTCACCCAGGCTGGAGTGCAGTGGCATGCTCATGGCCACTGCAGCCTCAACCTGCTGGGCTTAGTCAATCCTTCCACCTCAGTCTTCTAAGTAGCTGGAACTACAGGTACATGCTACCATGCCCAGCTTATTTTTCAATTTATTGTAGAGATGAGGTCTCACCAGGTTGCTCAGGCTGGTCTCGAACCCCCAGGAATCAGGCAATCCTCTCGTCTCAGCCTCCCAAAGTGCTGGGATTGCAGGCTGAGCCACCGCGCCCGGCCTGTTCTTATTTTTAACACAAGGAGAAGTTGGTCACTGGAGGAAACATGTCATGAACTAAAACTGTTTGGAGTCAAGCAAGCTCATTTGTCCTTGTGAAAGGACAGCTGAGTTGGGAAGCAGGCTGGTTTATTAGCTCCAGAAAGTAAGTTGGAGGATTGCCCCTTCCAGAACCAAGGGCAGTGATTTTATCGGGGCAAGCAAGTGATTTAAGGACGAACACCAGGGGGCAACAGTAGTATACTCTCCCCAAGAATACCTGTAAAAGAGTTTCTTTTTATTTGTGTGTGTTGTGTGTGTGTAATTTTTTTTTTTTTTTTTGAGTCAGAATCTCACTCTGTCACCCAGGCTGGAGTGCGGTGGTGTAATCCTGGCTCAATGCAGCCTCAACTTCCTGGGCTCAAGCCATCCTCCCACTTCAGCCTCCCAAGTAGCTGGTACTAAAAGCACACACCACCACACCTGGCTAATTTTTTGATTTTTAGTAGAGATGAGGCCTTGCTATGTTACCCAGGCTTGTCTCAAACCTCTGGGTTCCAGCAGTCCTCCTGCCTCGGCCTCTCAAAGTGCTAGGATTACAGGTGTGAGCTGCTGTATTTATATTTACGTGATTTTTTTGTTATGAAAAATTTCAGACAGATGCAAAACTAGAGTGGATAGATAATAAACTTCCACGTTCCATCACCCGACTTTAACAGTTACCGATGTTTTGTTAAGCTTGTTTCATTTACTACTCAGCTTTTTAAAAATTAGAGTAATTTAGTGCTGTTCACAGATACCATGCCATTCCACCCATAAACACAATTTCAATATGCTGGATCTTTAAATGATGATGACTTTTCTTTTGGTTCTCTATCGTTCTGTTATCACTCCTCACAGCCTCTGCAGCCTTGGCTCAAGAGACCTCCTGGGTTCAAGAGATCCTCCCACCTCCGTCCCCCCGGGTAGCGGGGACTACAGGCTTGGGCCACCACGTTCAGCTAATTTTTGTATCTTTTTTTGCAGAGACGGGGTCGGGGCTGTTGGCCAGGCTGGTCTCAAACCCTTGGGCTAAAGCAATCCTCCCGCTTCAGCCTTGCATAGTGCTGAGATTACGGGCACGTGCCACCACACCCGGCTACTTTCTGTGTTTTTTGTAGAGATGAGGTCTCACTGTGTTGCCCAGGCTGGTCTTGAACTCCTGGGCTCAAGCAGTCCTTCCACCCTAGCCTCCCCAAGTGAGCCCCTGAGCCCGGCCACACTCACCCTTTGAGCTCTGCGGTTTGTCGGAGGCCTCCCATCTCCACTCTGTGAAAGTCCTGCTTTGTGAAAAGAGCATGGCCTGATTCACCTTCCCCTTCTTCCCACCTGCAGGCTTTTCGTCTCTCCTGGGGGACATGCCGCCTTCCAACAGCTACTACATGTACCAGCAGCAGCCGCCGCCGCCTCAGCCACCGCAGCCGCCGCCGCCCCCTCCCCAGCAGTCCCAGCCGCCACCGCAGGCCCCGGCCCAGGGCCCTGTGGCCGTGGGGGCTGTGCCTCCACTGCACACCCCAAGCCCGGATGGCTGTGCCCCGCCAGGAGGAAAGCCCGCCGGGGCCGAGGGCTACGGGCCGCCCCCCGTGATGGCCATGCATCCCCCGCCGCTGCAGCATGGCGGCTACCACCCTCATCCTCACCACGCCCACTCCCATTCCACCCAGCAGCCGCCACCTCCACAGCCACAGGCCCAAGGCCAGACTCCCCTCAACAGCACTGGCTTCGGTGAGTGCGGGGGGGTGCAGGGTGAGCGTGGGAGGGGGCGGAACGACTCCCTTGCCCTGACTCTGGCCTGGAGGTGCAGTTGGTCAGGAGTCTTTTGGCCTGAATCCCCTAGGGCTCGTCTGGACGAACAGAGGTTGCTACTTAGAGCTCTGTTAGAGGATTCCTGGATGCACTGGGATTGCTTTCCGTTTCCACCTGCCGATGAGCTGTGCTGTACCCAAAGCACAGATTGCTTTGCAGTCCTAGCGCTCCAGGAAGGGAGAGTCCAAAACTTGCTCATGAGCTGATAACCTATGTAGATGCAAGAATCCGGCATGTGGTCAGTCTGGTGTCCGTTGACGGCTGTCTTCTGCTCCACTCTCTTATCCACTCTGCCCTCTTTCCAGGCTTTCCTCCTGACTGGTGCTCCAATATCGACTCCTTAAAGGAAAGCTTCAAGATGGTGAATCGGCTCAATTGGTCCAGCATCGAGCAGTCACAGTTCTCAGGTTAGAAAGACAATGACTGAAAGATAGTGTCTGGAGGGAAGAGGGACGCCACGTAAGTGGGAAACCCAGTAGATGCTAGAACCAGAAGGGGTGCTTCAGTAAAGCTTGGGAATTGAGGATTTCATTGTTTCCCCTCCATAGTACACAAGATGGGTAATATGGATATTCTTTTCTTTTCTTTTTTTTTGAGTTGGAGTCTCACTCGGTCGCCCAGACTGGAGTGCAGTGGCCGCTCCCGGCCACCGCAGCCTTGACCTGCTGGGCTCTGGCGATCCTTCTGCCTCAGCCTTCCGAGTAGCTGGAACTACAGGCGTGTGCTACCACGCCTGGCTAATTTTTTGATTTATTGCAGAGATGAGGTCTCGCCAAGTTGCCTGGGCGGGTCTCGAACCCGTGAGCTCAGGCAGTTCACTCACCTCAGCCTCCCAAAGTGCTGGGATTACAGGCTGAGCCACCGAGCCCGGCGGATATTATTTTCAAATTAATTTTGTCTTAACCCAAAATATGGCAGTGGTTTATCCTAGTTCATTCTGTTTTGGGAGAGAAAAGGCTCTTGGGAACTGATCCACCCTGTTTTGTAGTTTTGTCACCACTTAACTGACGGTGTGACCATAGCTGAGCCACTCAGTCACTTGGAAAGTTTGTTGTGCTCATCACTGAGACGGAAAATAGAGTCAGAATTTGGTAAGGAATAAATAGAACTACAGTTTGAAAACGTGGAGGTCTAACAAACGTCAGTGATTATCGTCAACGCGTGTCATCAGGGCTGTTGCCTTGCGGTGTGGCTGGCACCCTGAGATGGGGCGGGGCCGGGGCTGTGGGTCTTCCACGAGGCTGGCATTGCTTGCTTCCCTCCTTGCAGAGCTGATGGAGAGTCTCCGGCAGGCAGAGCAGAAGAACTGGACCCTCGACCAGCATCACATTGCCAACCTGTGCGACTCCCTCAACCACTTCCTCACTCAGACTGGTCACGTGCCTCCACAGGGGGGCGCCCACCGGCCACAGGCTCCTGCCCGTATTGCTGACTCCTGTGCCCTCACCAGTGGCAAACAGGAACCAGCCATGAACCAAGGTACTGCACAAAGCAAGGTGCCCTGGAGGAGGAAGGCAGAGGCCATGGAGAGAAATCTTGCTGTGGGCTGTGATCCCACCTGAGCAGTGGGAAACTCATGTATCCGTTGACAAACTAGTTGGCCGAACGTCTGTTGAATCGGTGGAATTTTATGCCAAAAAATGCAAAAGAAATAGGATATATGTATATTTTAGACCTTGATTTTAGAAGATCAGAATTACTTATGCAAAGGGTGGAAGCTAGGCGCGAAGCTGGGTGCGGTGTCTCACATCACTCAGCATTTTGAGATGCTCCATGAGCCCAGGCGTTCAAGACGAGCCCGGGCAACACAGCGAGACCTTGTCTCTATAAAAAAAATTAGCTAGGCATAGTGGCTGTGCTTGTAGTCCTAGCTACTCAGGAAACTGAGGTGGGAGGATTGCCTGAGCTCAGGAGTTTGAGGTTACAGTGAGCTATGATTTCACCATTGTACTTCAACTAGAGTGACAGAGCGAGACCTTGTCTCAGGGGGAAAAAAAAGAAAAGAAAAGGGAGGCGATTTGTTAGAGAAAGCCCCTTTTAAATTTGTGTTTTAGTAACCCCTGCTTAGATATCAGGTAGCATGGTGATTCCGCCTTTATATGATCTGCTAACTAATGAAAGAGCAATTTGATGATCGCATTTCTGTATTTGTCATCCTCATATCTTTGATATTTCACAGTTCTTGTATCCATCCTTTTTACCCTCAGTGCTGAGGACTGATAGCTTCTGCAGAGAGCATTCATGCTGGCAAGGCTAGAGAGTGGTCCAGGGGAGGGAGAATGGGATTGATGGGAGGAAGGGTACATTTTTTTTCCTCCCTGCATTATTGAGTGTCGTGGTCCCCCAGTCAAGTCACTCTTGTCTTGCTTTGGCAGTGAACTCTTACGGACACCCACAAGCTCCCCACCTCTACCCTGGTCCATCACCAATGTACCCAATTCCTACCCAAGACTCAGCAGGATACAATCGCCCAGGTAAGAGTCAGGATGCTCGTCTCACCACCGTTCTTCTCTGATGAGTTGCTTCGCTTTCCTGTGCCTCTGAGCCTGCATTCTCTTTTGCCTCTACCTGCCAGAAAGGTTGAGCCTTTGTGATTCCCAAGGCTGGAGGATGGGCTTCCTGTTAGGGAGGTACATGTCAGGGGAGACTAAAGGAGACAGATTTATTTTGAAAGTAGCTGGTAACTGCAATACTGAAAGGAAGTGAAAGCATAAATATAAGCAAAAGATAGGTATATGGAACATTTATGTGTAGCTTTGGAATCTAGATGGAGGATATACTCAGGAAAATAGAATGAATTTGTCATTTGAAATATCTCTGATTGTGGGGTTGGCAGGTAGATACTAAATTGCTGTAGATAGTACAAAATGAACAAATCCTTTACATTTAAATGCATTTTTGAAAAGTCACGGCTGGGTGTGGTGGCTCACACCTGTAATCCCAGGGCTTTGGGAGACTAAGACGGGAGGATCACTTGATGCTGAGAATTTGAGACCAGCCTGGGCAACACAGTGAGACCGTGAAAGACCTTGTCTCTATAAAAAATTTTAAAAGTAGCTGGAGTGTAGTGGTAAGCACCTGTAGTCCCAGCCATTCAGGAGGCTGAGGGGGGAGGGTTGCTTGAGTCCAGGAATTCAAGGCTGCAGTGAGCTATAATCATGTCACTGCACTCCAACCTGGACAACGGAGTGAGATCCTGTTTCTTAAAAAATGAAAAAGAAAAAGTTATTATTATCATTCTAACCACAGATGTCTTTACATTTTTGGATGACGTCAATTCTTTGTATTTTTTTTTTTTTTTTTTTTTGGAGTCTCACTCTGTAGCCCAGACTAGAGTGCAGTGGCCGCTCCAGCCACTGCAACCTCGACCTGCTGGGCTCCGGCGATCCTTCCGCGTAGCTGTAACTACAGGCATGCGCTACCACACTCGGCTAATTTTTAAAATTTATTGTAGAGATGAGGTCTCACCAAGTTGCCCGGGCGGATCTCGAACCCGCGGAGTCAGGCAATCCACTCACCTCAGCCTCCCAAGGCGCGGGATTATAGGCTGAGCCTCCGAACCCGGCTAACTCTTTGTATTTCTTGTCCATATCATAATACTACACGTTTCTATGCTGCGCGTTCATGTAATGCTACACTCTCTGTGTTATTGATCTTCATAAATAGAGTTTTTTTTTTTGTTTTTTTTTTGGAGTTGGAGTTGGAGTTTCACTCCGTCACCCAGAC